TCCCGCCTGCCAGTGACGGTGCGGACATGACCGTGCCCAGTGCGCTCGACGAGTCGGTGGTCGTGGGCGACGCCGGCACATTCGCGGCCATCGCCTCGAGCTCCGGCTCCTCGGCAATCGTCGCGTACGGCGGCATCGACCCCGTCGACCGGCGACGGTGAATCGCGAGTGCGCGGTCCGACGGGGTCCGTGGACGCGCGTCGACGTCCTCGTAGAGCGGCGAATGAAAAGTCGGGATCCGCGCATCTGGGTCGGCCGTGAGCGATAACCACCCGTGCGGCGCGCCCGAGGAACCGCCATGCGCGGAGGTGCCGTTCGGATGCGCCGGGTCGGTCGGCGACGTGGGCAATAGAGCGCGTAACGAGGTTCCCAACGACGCGGCGGCCACGTCCACGTCGAGGTTGAGCGTGCGCTTGAGCCACTGCGACGTGCGTTGGCCAAGCGCCGAGGACAAGAGCGTGCCGGACGCGCTCGATACGGACCCGTTGCTCAACCGGCGGCCCTGCGCGTCGGTCGCGTTCGGGTCGTCGCGGGCCGGCTGCTTGAGAATCGACTTGAGCGGACGCGGCGGCGGGGGTCCGGGCGTCGTCATGGCGGCGGCAAACTGGTGGAGAGCAGCGAGCGCTGGGTCTTGGTCCTTGTCGGTCGGGTGCTGCAGAGCCATTTCCTGTTCCTGAGCGGAGGGAGGGAGGACGCGCGGTCAGTTCATGGTAGGACACGTCCAGGCGAGTCGCGTCGCGCTGGCGGTATCGACTGCTGACAAGGGAACCGACGCGGAGGAGCGGCGGCCGTGCGTCGCGCGTGTTGCGGCACGGTGGGAGAGGGTGGAAAGGCGCCCCATGTCATTGCTTCCTTCCGCGGGCGTCGCGCACCACACCAGCGAGCGAGCCGCGGGCGCACGGCTGCCGTCATCACCGCATGCGAGCGGGAATGGCGCCGAGCACGGGTCCCTGGCAACGCCAGCGGCGTCCGCGTCCGAAGTCCGTCGGCGTCGTTGTCGGCCTCGGCGTTGGCGGCGCTCTCCTCCACAAAACATATGTGCGACACCACCACCACCCTCCACTTCCACTCTGGCCGGTTCACCGCACCCGCACACAAGAAAACAACGCACCAGCAGGAACGCCATGGCCGCATCCAACGACGCGGCGCCCGTGCAATCGACGGCGACGCCCGCCGTGGCCGCATCGACGCCGCGCGCCATCAACTGCGCGACAATTTCGGCACGCGACATGGCGCGGTGCGGGGGGCGCGGACGGAGCGCGGGGACGGCCAGGTGCCACGACCGCCGCGGCGGTAAGGCTGGTGCAGGCGAGGCCGCGGCCGGGTCGGCCGGCGGGAAGGCGAGCGGGAGCGCCGGTGCGGGGGCCAGCGGG